CAAATGCCAAAACTAGATATATAATGGGAAATTAAATTTAATTTAGTTAAATTGATCAAGAAAAAGTTTATAAAAATTGGCAATAAGTCATGTTAGGATCCAAAACAGTATAATTTTTAATATATGCAAATTAGGCAAACTCTAAACAACTCTTGTGGGAAATGTGTTATGCACACTTCTTATAATGACTGAATTCTTTCAGTAAACTGTAGTAAAAATATAATTTTACTGATATCCAAAAATATAGTTTAGTATTGCTGTAATTAATCTATTAAGAATGTTTTTATAATCTCTTATGAATTTAATTGAACATTAAATTCCATATTTTTGTACAGTTTATGTATACATATATTGTATTATTGGGCGTAGTTAAGTTTATTCAGATTCTAAGTCCAATTTTTGTACATTCTATGTATACATAAATAATACCAATATTTGTCAAGATGCCAAGTCAATAATTTGTACAATTAATGTATACATAAATTATACTTCATTCTGACATGATTCTAACATAAATTTTTTTGGTTACTTTTTATTTCTTAGTCATGATATTGTACATTTTATGTATATGTAAATTATACAATATTTAGGCATTGAATCCTATGCAAAAAATCTGTACATTTTTAATATACAACAAATATACATTAATGAATTTGTATAAAGTGTGTATACAAATAATGTACTGCTGTTTTCTTGTATGTATGAATTTTGTATACAAATAATATACACAATTTCAAAAAAGTATACTTTTTGTACAGAATATGTACCGGTATACAATTAATATACTATTGGGGCGGACAATTTGGTAAGGGAATGGACATATGTTGCATTGCTGTTCTGTCTCTGAATAATAGCTTATATGCCATTTTTGTCAGAACTCATCACTGCTGCCCCATCATACCCCTGTCCAACCATGTTATCCATATTCAAACCAAATCCTGTAAGTGTGTTAACTATTGTGTGGGCTATCGTACACGCATCCATTTTCTCCAGTTGTACAAAGCCAAGGAAATCCTCTCGTATTTTGTCTTCGTACATGTAACGTATACAAAGACTGATTTGTTCACAAGTGGCGCAATCCTGGGTTTCATCTGCCATAAACTCCAGTACTCGGGCATAGAAGTAACAGTTGATCTTCCCATTTCATTCTCACAAAGATGGAATATTTCATTTTGTATTTGTGGGGAAGTATATTTAGCGTTTCGACTTGCACGTTTTAAATGTTCTGATAAGTCGTGATCATATCTTGATTTCCAGTCCATGAAAAATTGCCATTCTCGGCCTGATCCTCCATCACCCAGTTTCCTCTAAAGGGTATACCCCGCTGC